ATGAAATCTAATATCTATGCAAGGTCAGACAATCCTTGTCAGCCACTGCTTCCAGCTCAGGCAGAGGCTCTCAGGACTTGAAGGCAATGACTCAGGGATTCAATGTTGTGGACCAGAGTCCAGCTTACAGCCAGAACCTTCAGACTCTAATGTAACTGTCCTGAGTGGAGAGCAGCCCACTAGGAATGCTGTCATCAATGCTGAAATCTGTCTGAGTCTGTTTTTAATGCACAGCCAGCCCTRTTCTTGACACAGCTCCAGGAAGAGAAATATTTGGGCGAGTCCTGCTCCCATCTTGGGTGGGAGAAGAGGTCAGGCACTTTATGACCCTTCTTAATTCTCCCAGCAGGAAAAGGGAATCAAGTTTGGTTTGAGCTGTTGCCTTTAAATACCTTTGCTGGAGCTTGTGTGCCAGGGAGSTTGAAGGGAGTGGCCATGTTGGAGACCTGCAGCTCTCTGACCTTATTCCTAACAGGTTTTCAAGCCCTGGCTTGTGTTTGCTCTTCTGACCATTGAACCGTGGCTTCTTCATGGGTCAGAACTGCTTAATGTTTTCCTCAGAGAAGTCTTTTGACTACACTTGGCTGCAACCAAGCAAATGAGCACCTTTGGAAAGTACCTAYGAAGTGTAATTCTCAGTTAAAATACATGACCTTCTTGAATACTGTTTGATGCATTCAGCTTCAGAGCTGCTGCTGCAGCTGTGGCCTGGATGTGGTTGTGGTTGGATGGCTGCTGTGCTGAGCTGTTTGTGGATGTTGATGTGGAACAGTGGCTCAGCCACGCTGCAGTAGCTGATCCTGTTACTTGTCTTGCAGTGGGACACGGCRGGACAGGAACGGTTTCGGACTATCACCTCCAGTTACTATAGAGGAGCTCATGGCATCATAGTTGTGTATGATGTTACAGATCAGGTAAGTGTCAAAACTGTGCCTGCAGAGTTTCTCCAGGCCCGGGAGGAAATAAAACCGGGAATTTAACAACKGGGCACATCTTAAGGAGACAGTGACAGAGTTCTCCAGGCTGTGTTAGGACTAAATGAATGTGTTTGGTGTGGCAGAAATAAAGGGAGCAGTGGGATTTGTGGCTTTTAAGCAGTTGTATCTTCGTCTTTACCTAAAACTTGGGGAGCAGGTATCTGGTTGTTTTGTGTGAATGCTTCTCACCCTGCCTTTGGTAGCAGGAAGTCTGAGTTACTGATGGATTACTRCTGAAAGATTTCTGAATGTACTTGTACTGTGGTCTACAGTAAAGACTGGCATTTGAAACAGAAAATTGTCAGCCTGTGTGCAGGATACAACTGAGCCAGTGTTTTCTGTGAAAGGATCTCTGAAGAGTCGGTGCAGTTGTTTGAAGGGCACTTGGGAAGTATAGGGTTTCCTGAACTAATAGAAAAAGAACACTTGTGTTCAGTCACTAAGTGGAATATTAATCCAGCATTTCTGAAATCAAAGGTTCTTCCAGCCTATCTACARCAAGGTGGCTTGCACCTAATACCCAATGCTTTCTAAATATGTGGGATTCATCTGGTTTCAGCTGTGTGCCRTGTCTCTTATCTCTGCTACAGGAGGAGGAGGAAGAGTCCCAGATGGTTGAAACTGTTGAATATTCAAGATACGGAGCAGGGAAAAATAACAGTGGAGGGAGTGCAGGAAGGGCTGATTGTGTAGGGCTGGGAACAGGTGCTCTATGAGCCCTGTGGGGTCTGGCCTGTTGCGAGGCCATCAGAGGAGTYTGGCAGCATTAAAGTGCTCTCCCATGGTTGTGAATCACATGGATAAAGGCACTGCTTCTTACTCTTTCCTGGTCATGACTAAAGGGGTAGTGCTGAACTTGCCCCTTTGTCAAGGGCCTTGCTTACGGTTCTCTTATCTTGTAGGAGTCTTTCAATAATGTCAAGCAGTGGCTGCAGGAGATAGACCGTTATGCCAGTGAAAACGTCAACAAGTTGTTGGTGGGGAACAAGTGTGATCTGACCACAAAGAAAGTAGTAGACTATACAACAGCAAAGGTATGTGGGGACTCATGTGTTTGCATRGCCGAGCATTTGCTCTGGTTTGTCATGCACTGAGGTTCCAGTGCAGGGAAGTGTCCCGGTGTCACAAATGGGGGCAGTTTAATGGMCCCCTGCCCTGCAAGTCCTCATCAGACTGGAGATGGGGTGTGGGGTGGAATCCAGGAACTTGTGGGTTATCCAGTGGTGCTCCAGGAAATGAGGTATGAACTTGTACATGAGCTTACTGTTCACTGTTTCTCGATTTGCAGGAATTTGCAGATTCTCTTGGAATTCCGTTTTTGGAAACCAGTGCAAAGAATGCCACAAATGTAGAACAGTCTTTCATGACCATGGCTGCCGAGATTAAAAAACGAATGGGTCCGGGAGCGACAGCTGGTGGTGCAGAGAAGTCCAATGTTAAAATTCAGAGCACTCCAGTCAAGCAGTCTAGTGGAGGTTGCTGCTAAAACTTGCCTCCCCCCTTTTGTCTCACAACAATGAATTTGCAATCTGAACCCAAGTGAAAAAAAAAAAAAATTGCCTGAATTGTACTGTATGTAGCTGCACTACAACAGATTCTTACCGTCTCCACAAAGGTCAGAGATTGTAAATGGTCAATACTGACTTTTTTTATTCCCTTGACTCAAGACAGCTAACTTCATTTTCAGAACTGTTTTAAACCTTTGTGTGCTGGTTTATAAACGTGTAATCCTTGTTGCTTTTCCTGATACCAGACTGTTTCCTGTGGTTGGTTAGGATGTATTTTTGTTTTGATGTTTCTATTGGCATGTTTAGATGTCAGGTTTAGTCTTCTGAAGATGAAGTTTAGCCATTTTGTATCAAACAGCACAACAGTGTCTGTCACTTTCCATGCATAAAATTTAGTAAGATATATGTAAGATCTGATTTGCTAGTTCCTTCTTGTAGAATTATAAATGGAGAGATCACACTATCTGATTAATAGTTTCTTCATACTCTGCATATAATTTGTGGCTGCAGAATATTGTAATTTGTTGCACAATATGTAACAAAACTGAAGAAATGTTTAATAAATATTGTACTTATTGGAAGTAATATCAAACTGTATGGTGATAAATATTGTCTTAATTTGTATGGCTAAGGGGGAAATCAGGCTTGCATTGTGCACAAAACAACATATCTGTGTGTGCAGCCATGGCTCAGACCTTCCCTGCAACTCGCCCAGTGACTATGGCCCCAAAGCCTGAGCTGTCATGGTGCTTAAGGCACGTGTGYTGTACCAGAAACACCCAGCCAAGGTTCATGAGGCATAATGCACTCTGAATGTACAACAGTTCCCTAACTTAGTCTTGGAACTTAATTTATTTCTCAAGGATTCTATGTAGGGAATTCCCGTCAGCTTYGCATAGCAGGGGAGAGAACAGTATTTCCCTAACACGAACGATTTCAGCATAACCTTGAGGAGGTATAACTTTCTACCAGTATATTATGTCTTTTCTATATACTGTTAATTCCATCCTCTTTTAATCACTATCTCCTGACTTAGTGCAACAGCTTAGCTTCTATTCCCTTCTGCAGCGAGGCACCAGGAGGGTGACATGGGGATAGCAAGGCCCCCACCAAACTGTTGCTCAAAGTAGGCGCTTTCAAACAATTTGGAACTAACCAGCAGCCAAGAGGTTTTTGGATGGTGTGTGATTCTTTGTACAGAGCTAATCAAATCATTAGTGCCTGATGTCTAGCTAAAAGCCACAGGAAAGCTAGCCTATAACACTTCCTATACATGTAAAATTGTTCAGCTTTATCTAAACTCAAATGTTCAGCCTATTCTGTAAATAGTCTCATGTTTGAAAGACCATGTAACATTCCCCTAGTAGTAAATACACCCTGTGATAGTAAAAATATAGCCTAGGTATGTTGTGAGGTATAAACTAAAACTGGTGCAAATATCCTCTGATTTTTTTTTTTTTGGGGGGGGGTGACTTTGGCTAACAGCTTTCTTCAACATAGTTGCATAAATCAACAGGCAATTGTAATACATAAAGTATTGTCATGGTTAAGTTGAACTCTTCCACTTGAGACCTTCACAATAAAGTGATGTGCTTTCTAGTAGAGATGTGCTTGTTGGTATAATTCATTAATAAATGTGACTGGCTCCTCCCCGGGAGCAGGAGGAGCAGTGAGTGCTGCTGAGATCAGGAAGTGAAGCAAAAGGAGGTGTGTTGAGGGTAAAACATCKTCCCTGCAGAGAGTGCACAAATGAACTTCAATGTCGAGATGCCTGCTACATACTATCCAAACCAATGTTAATATATACAGTAATAAAAGCATTGCAAAACCAGTTGGGCTACACCAGGTGTTTGGTGGTTCTTTGTTCCCCCCTCAGTCATCACTGGGTCACTGGGCTGGTGCTGTTCCATGCTGAAGCCTGAGGYTGTCAGGCTGAGCTGTGTGTGAGGGTAGAGCAGRCYTAAACGTCCTGGGAAAAGGCAYCATAGTCTCTTATCTATGAGCTGAAATATTAAATACTTTTGATACAATGAGCCAAAAAAATATTGCCCTTTAAGCCGAGGATGTAGAAGATGGGGAGAATATCAACTCCCACACCCGTAAGCCCCAAGGAATTATTTGCTGTAACTGCTTCATTACTTTGTGTTCACTTTCTGTTTGTGCAGAACAGAAACTTCTCTTGTACTCTGTTCACAGGAATGGCAGGAAATGATGTATTCTGCACAAGAACACGATGATCACCATTCAGGCTAAAGGTTAATTAAAGCCRAGTACCAACATTCTGTAACTTTTTCTGGCCACTTACCTTGTGCTGCTTCAGAGCTGCCTTTTCTGCTGGAGATAGGGTTTGGAAGCCCTTGCTGAATGTTCTGAGCAGTGATTTAACTGCAGTAGCTGGAAGGGGGAAGGCACAACCCTTCACCCTGGGAAACCAGCGCAGCACTAACACAGCGCCTGCCAGCAGCAGGTACCAGCAGGTTACACAGAACTGGGCTCCTCCTGATCTGTGCTTGCTTGTTTATTATTTTATTGGGATTTGGTATATTGGCTTTTGGTGTTTATGTATATGAAAACTGAAAGTTAAGTAGGCCCTGCTTGAGCAGGAGTGGTAATTATAAACAGGCCAGGAGTTTGCTCCCAAGAACCAGGAGGAGTTGCTATTTCTTGGCATGTCGCACCTATTTTTGACGAACATAAACAAACCATGAGAACAGGGCTATTAAAATCACACKGCTTTACTTAGCGAGCTCACGGCACACTATGGATTGCTCAGTTAAAAAACTCCGTGTTCCTGACGTTTTACTAACACAGAACAGCCCACTTTAATAAAAAAAGGGGAAGCTATGTTAAAAACAAACCAGAATAGGGCAGCTGTACATTCTTTACACAACTCTGGACATCCCAGCAGCTGCACACCTACTGTACAGGGCACCTTGCTCAAGTCATGGCACAAACSCACACTGAAATCAGCCCCATGGGCAACTGGGCACAGATTTTGGCATCTCTGGAGAGGTGATGGAGGTGTCTTGGTGCTTGCTGCAATTCTTCTCAGCCCTCCTGGGATGGACTAATGCAGCCTAGGTCTGACAGGCAGCACCTGAAATAAAATGAGGTGTTCGGTGCCATGCTTTGCCTGCAGTCTGACAAAGAAAGAAACCCCTATGCTCTAGTCCCACATCTCACCAGTGTAAAGGGTACAGCTGGGTAGAGGTAGAAATTAAAAAACACAACAAACCAAATTCTAATTAGGACACTGTTATCCTCTTCTAAGAGGCTGGCACTCCTGAAGGGAGATGGTCAAGAAATCAGCAATCAAGTTGTCTAGTCCCTATTTTGTACCTGAATTCACTTGCTTCCCTTTCCCACCATTATAYAGCAACCAAAATGTTTCTACGGAAATACAAAGCCAAAAAATACCCGTTCCTCATCTTCCCTCTGCTGTGCAAGGGATCTGGGGAGAGCAGGTGTCTGTGCTGGACCATTGCCAGCCCCCAGCCCTGAGTGACAGGGACCTGCAGAGCTGCCATCGCTCCCCTCATGCTCTTGGGTTTCATCAGCTGGTGCACTCGCACTGCTCTGCCCCGACACGGTTAAACATGCTGAGAAATCCATTTGAGTCTCCCCTGCCTTCTCAGGCTTTCCAACAGATTCAAAGAAATTACAACAAAGCCTGATKTTTGGTGTTTGCTAACTCCAGTGTTTCTGTTCCTGTGCTTCCTCCCCTCTTTGCCCACTGCAGCAAGGTTGGTTTTCCCCTTGCTTACCCACGGAGCAGCCGTGTGCTGCACCCTCCTTGTCCTGCCCTGCGTCCTTGCCCTGCACRGGGCCCACAGCAGCCAGGATGGACTGGTAAAAGCGCTCAGCGTGGCTTTCRAGCTCTTCCGACTGCTTGGCAATCAGACCCARCGTGTCTTTCAGAGCTGGAAAGCAAAAACATCTGAATGGAGGTGACAGGAACACGGCAATTCAGCATCTGTCAGAGCAGAGCTCTGCTCGCCCAGGCAGACTTTGGAAGGAAATGGAGTGTTAAAAATCAATAATGTGATGTTCATCCCATCCACATTGTGATGCAGCATTTGCAGGGGGTGGAGAGTGACCCAGGTTCATCATGAAGATGTAGAAATAGGGGGTCTTASAGAAAACCTTTGGAGCTGTGCAAGAAAGCCCATCCATAATGCAGCACTCGACCTCCAAAGCCCCTTTGGTGACTGCAGCTAAGCCCACCCTTTAGAAATCCCTTCTAAATCAGCACAGCAGCCACTCTAAGTGTGCTGTGGCACCGGCCMGGCCAGGTCAGGGAATSTGGGGGGCAGATGCTCCCTTGGCCRGCATCACTGTGTCCATKAGCAGCCCCACAYGAGTGCTCCTCCTCACCTGGTGAATTTGATGCCATGCAGTCCAGGAGAGCTTCTCCCCTCTCCAGTACGCTCTCAGTCAGGCTCCGGTGGTCGGCCACATCCTTCCTGAACTCCTGGCAAGGCAAGGAGAAGAGCAGCATTGCTTGGAAGGGTTTTTGAAAGACACACACCTGTGGCACGCTGCCCTGGGAGCAGTTTCCTCTAAGCAGATTCTGGTGCTCCCAAATTTGGCTTTGCAAACCCAGAGCACCCTGGACCATTCTGGTGATGCCTGGTTGTGCTGCCTGGAGCACAGGAGAGGGGGAAGGAAGCAGAGCCAAGGGTGACACCCACCAGGTAGCGGTGCAGCGATGCTGACACACTCTCGGCATCCGGCGAGGGTGGCACCCAGCTGCCRGTGACATCCGCCACATTGTACAGCCATCGGATCAGCTCTTCCAGCTGGCAGCAAAACATCTGCTCAACAAAGCATAAAAAAGGGGTCACGGATCTATTTCTGCAATAGACATGGGGCAAGGACAGGACAAGTGAGCCAGTGGTGTTTTGGAAAGCATCCATCTTCTGTTCCTCTCCCATCCCAGCACACAAACATCCCTAAGCTTGGGAAACCAAGGGTCAATAGGAAAAAGCCAAAAATTAACTTAAACTCCAAACAGTCCCTGCATTCACTGTGTGGCAAGAACGGAGGGTCACCATGAAATGTCTGCATGGAGAGGTGCTGGAGGCTGGTAGCATCCAGGCTGAAGRAAAAGGTTGGCCTCCATCACCTCCAAAGCCCAAGAGATCTCCTCTTCCTCCTCCTCCTCCTCCTCACTGGAGCTGTGCAATTAATTTGCAGTTGCTTTTCCCCAAGGGTTTGTCTCGTTCAATTAAGTGCTTTCATTTATTTTTAAAGTGTCTCRGTAAGGGATTATTTTTGTAAGATGCTGCATGAAACCCAGGGGCCTCTGCTGGCACCAAAGCAGCCAGCAGGGCAACGCAGGGGCCTCTGAAGGCTCAGGCSCTGCTCCTCCTCCTCAGGAGTTGCCATTAAGCTCAGCTGCTTTTCCCTGGCACTGTAATTTGGTGTGACAAATACAGAAAAGACCCTTYTAAATCAACAGTTATTTCCATACCAGAGGAGGGGATGAGTTTGCAGCTAAGTGCATGATAACACCCTTGTGCAAGCAGCCCAGCATCGTTTCCAAATTCATCCCAGCACTGGGGTGGGAAGAAAATGGAGAGGAGGGTGGGAGCAAAATGCTGGTGACAGGATGGCTGAAACATAAAAATCCACAAAATAATCAGGAAACCCTTCAGAGCTGCTGCAGCTCCTGCCTGGTGCAGCAGCGCTGCAGGATGGGCAGGCTGGGGGACCCAGCTGAGTGCCACATCTCCACCCAGCCTGGCCTGTGACACTGAGCCCCAGGGAAAGCAAGACGGGCTCCTGCTCCATCAGAAGRAATTATCTGCTCTGGTGAGCCCCCCTGCATAAATTACCACCAGCTGCCAGGCAGGACACATCATGCAGAACGGGAAGCCTTAATTAATTGTGCCATAAAGACAGGCACGTTTCATGTGAGATCTTCCCAGAATAAACTTTATTTCTGKTCTCAGCCTACCTTAACACAGTGGACAAGGGACTCGCTCTGCTGGCTCTTCTTTGGATGTCCCTTGAACCGTGGTTCACGTAGGTACAGCCCGTCCAATGWGTCCCTGAGACCAGCTGGTAGATGAAGCCCCCGGAGAGGATCCCTATGGATCCAGCCATACGATTCCGTGTTTTCCCAGCTGGGCTTTCGGGAGCTGTAGCATTGCCACAGCCCAGCATGACCCTCAATATTCTCTCTTTCATCCCTGCCTCTCGCTTCTCCAAAAGGAGCCAGCCTGGATGCAAGGGGCTGCCTGCTGGTGCTGTGATGTGGWAGGTTATGGTGGTCATGCCCGGGCRTCCTTATAGTTAAGGAAAGATTGGACAAAAAYTGAGCCAGCCTTTCCAGCTCCTGCAGTCTCGGAGGCAGGGAAAGAAATTCTTCTTCAGCCTCCCAGTCCTTCCTCAGGGGGAGCACTCCAGTGGTGGGTAAAAACCTATTGGTGCTTTTTGCCTGCCCTGCRTAGTTTGGGCAGGGGTTCCCTGTGGCAGCCCAGCTTCTCCTATTGGCAGCAGAGTACCCAGTTGAGTTTAGCCCAGCTGATTCCACCCTTACATCCTTAGTAAAACCTCTGGAAGGATGAGAGGAAGCTTTGGCAATAGGTGAAGGTTCATAGTACAAGCCAGCTCCTGAGCAGCCTCTTCTTCCATTCTTTGGGGTGGAGAATCTGTCTGCAGAGGCCATAAACTCCAAAAATCCATTTTCTCTGCTTCCCTGAGCCTGCCCAGCTCGGCCATARATGCTGGTGGACCTGGACGTGCCCTCAGGAGAAGAAGAAAAGCTGTCTAGAGCTATTCCCGAGTCATGGAGGAAAGGCTCCCGCATCCTTCCTAGCYTGTACCTTGGCTTCAGCGGGTAAGCATAATCCAGCAAGTCCTCGTACTCTTTATTGGGGTTCCAGTGGGGAGAGCTGCGGTCCGGGGACGGGGGCAGTGAATCCGGAATGGCACAGGCCCAGTAATCAGCTTGGTAGGAGGAGATCTCCCGGATGAGCCCCACGGTGCTGCGGTAATCGAGCAGAGAGCCCAGGGGCTCCTGCCTCTGCAGGGCCCTGCCTTCTGCTCCCCAGGTGGCCGTGGTGGCCACAGGAGAAGGGACACCCGTGCTGGCTGGCAAGCTTCCAGATGGCTCCTCGGAGGGGCCGTTTCCTTCTGAGGACAGAGCGCAGAGGCTCAGCACGGAGCGGCTCTGCCGGGCACTCTCGGGGCTGGGTGGGGTTTGGGGCTGCAGGAGCTCTGGGGTGGAAGGACACGGGGATTGAGTTCCCAGGCTTTGTCTCTGATGGCCAACGTGGGCACGGTGGCAGCTGCCAGCAAGGATGTTCTCAGCAGAGCTGCACTGGCTGGGAGGGCTGGACACTGGGTCCCAGTGGCCCGATGCCTTCACCTGCTCAAGGACAGGGTGGAAAAGGAAAGGGAGAGAAGAGACATGCATGAAATGAAGCACAGCATCCACACAAAAGGCTCCTTTGTCTGGAATATGGAGATAAAAGCCCAATCCTGGACCTGTCAGGCTGCAAGTGGAACTCTGTCCCATCTGTGGGATGGCCTGCATCTGCGCAGAGCAGGGCTTTTTTTTTTATGGAAAGGAATCTCAAGGGCTTTGGAAGCTGCACGAGTCATTTGACAGCAAGAGACTTATTTAAAGAGCACTGTCCTGAGCAAGTTCCCAGCTCTGCACTGGTAACATGGGGATGGAAGCAACAGCTTGGCTGTTGGAACCCAAAAGCCCCTTCTCACCACACGCCTGAGCTTGGGCAGGGGTGGGCACACTCCAGCTGGGAGAGATGGAAAATCCTTGCTGGGGCAGCCCTGACAAAGAAATCCCCACCTCTCCTGGGACCTCCCACTGGTACAGCAACACCTGCAGGTACAACCCTCTCACCTGCTGTTCTTCTGAGGAAAGGAACCGGTGTCCAATGCGACGAGGTGCAGGGCCACCATCAGCAGCTCTATCCATTAATGTGCCTGAGGGCTTTGCTCGTGCTCTGGGAAATCCGGATGCTGAAAACACTTCTGGGTGGCAGCTTGAGCCTCCCTGGGTAACACCAGTGGCCAGGTGGCTGTGTCTGGTCACTGCCATGCTCTCTGTCCCTTGCAGGCTGGGCTTGGCGTCCTCTGTCCCTAAAAGCTGGTGCAGGCTTCCCGCCAGCTCTGGGAAATTCGTCTCCACGTCTGCGCAGTCACACCTCCCATCGCCCTCAGTCTTCCCACTCAGCGAGGCTTCAGAAGGTGATTTTCCCACATCCACGGCCATCAGGACAGAGYTTCTTCCATGGGATGATGCTGAGCCTTGGGCTCTCTGAAATACAAAGCACGTGGCAATGGCATCCCACCGTCCCTTGTCTCCATGCCAGATGGGTTTGCCCAATAACAGAGTTTAAGTTGGGTGAGACTCCAAAATAGATAAAGGAACATCCTGGTACATCAGGTGGGACAGAGGAAAGAGCAAACCCTCACACCYCAGCAGCATTTTCTGGTTTTGAGGATGTGAACACAGGGAAAATCTAATTACAGCCCTGRCCATACCAAGAACAAACCTGGGCTTTACACCTTGCTGGCACCGGAGTCCTGCACTGATGGCCAATGTCACCAACACTTTGTGCACCATGAGGTCACTGGGCCCAAACAGGACATCATTAACTAGGACATGAAGCACCTACTGGCTGAGCTCTGAAGGTTGTCGGGGTGGAAACTTGAGAGTTTTTTAAAGATATAAACCYAAAATCTTAAAGTGGAAGCCACCCAGAAGCAAGAAGTAGCTATAAAAAGTTAGAGGGGGAGGTAGGAGGCTGTAAAACTCAAACCTGGTGCTCCGCTTGGTAGCTTCTACCTAAATGCATGAAATTAACTCTTTGGGTAATTAATGAATGGAAATACTTGCATTCACTTGGGCTTGAGTGAGGAGCTGCTGCAGGACAGCCCACGAGCCAAATCAAGGAGACTCCAGCCCAACCCAAGGTGCTGGCAGTAGGGAAATGTCAGCAGAGTGGTTTTGCTGGTATTCCCCCAACTGGTGCCAGCAAAGAGATCAGCCAAGGGAGCATCCACAGCAAATTCAACTAAAAGGAAATTAAAAAAAAAAAAAAAAGGAGGAAAGAACGAATTCCCAAACAATACTTGGAAGTGGGAAACAAGTCGATACTCGCTCCCTCATCAGCTCTTTTGTCACAGTCTCGTTTTATGATCCACCCCTCCCTCCGAGCAGCGGGGTTTTCCCACGGGCACAGGAACAAAGAGCGGCGGGAGGGAGGACGCGCCGGGTCTCCAGGGGAGACCAAATCCCCAGCGCAGGCACAACCCGCAGCCCGCTGTGSCCTCCCCAAAGCCGGCAGCTGATCCAGCAGCTGCTGAGGGGACAGGCACAGCCTGGGCTCCGCCAGCCCTCACTCAGTGCTCCCAGCCCACACCTGCATCCCCCACTCCATTATTTAAATTACCAAAGACAACCCTACGCACATCATGTCGTCTGAAATGGATTGCACTGCTCTCAGAAAGGTTGCATATCCACCCAAAGAAGGTGGAGTTGTTGTAAAAAACCGTSATCAATAAACCTACCCTTGTTTTGRGACTTRAAAAACRTATATAAAAGAAAGAAAAGCTCAACAAGATATCAAATCCGCCGTTAAAGTTTTAAAGTCAATGTGCTGTAACTAATAATCGACCTCAGGACAGCTTTATTTTTAAGCAGATGCCACRTTAAATTCAAAGGGATGTTAAACATCACGACCTCCWCYAGATTTAGTGATTTGAGTAAGGTGTCAGCCCAGAAAAAAACAACTGTAAAAAACACACTGAAGCTTGACCTMAAATCTGAAAAGCATGAGTTAAGCAACATAAAATAAAACTTGCAGGTCATGACCCATCTGTTAGTTTCCTAACTGTGTGGAGGAGGGCAAATATCCTGAACTTAAGATCATTTGTTATCTTACAAAGGCAGCATRCAGTGATTTACATTTCTACAATGCCATTGGTCTTTAAAAAAAGAGCAAGTGCTGGTTCACAGGTTCATTAAATCTCCAGAAGCTAATTGGATGCTAAAGAGAAACCAGGAAACCTGCCAATACACAGGAGTGAGAGTAAATCTGCTTACTGGAGGATTTGTACGGGTATTTAAAGGGACACCAGAGATCTCACTGCATTTTCCAAAGTCTCTAATTCAGGCAGCTGATTTCAATTAACTTCAGWGGGAGCTGGATCTCCAAACCACACCCGGACACAAGCGAGACAGGGATGTGATCCCACACACAGAACAATCGGGCAAAAAGTCATATTTAACAACAAAGTGAAAACACTGCTGCCACTAAGAACAAYTCYCAACTACACGAGCATCTAGAAAACAAGGTTTCTCACCATTCTCCAAAAATCCCACAAAAACTCAGAGGTCAGGTTACCAGCGGCAGCGACTCATCAAGATTAACCCTCACGACAGAAGAAGCAATCCCAAATCCTCGAGAAGGACTGAGGAGGGACGTACGACCACAGCTTTAGGCACGGTGGAAACTTTCCACTGGCCTCAAAAGCACAAGAAAACAACCAAAGCCCTCAATTGTCTCACAGAAACGCTACCCGTGGCCGTGTCTTTAGATAACAGAGGAAGACAGTGGGGCCGCTTCATTCATTTCAAAGGGAAGGTCCGCAGGGATCKCTCCTGAAAGGCGATCCCTGAGGTTTTTCAGGCCGTCAGAAGGGCCAAGGCGCTGCCCCAAGCCCGGCGGACAATGAGGGCTCTGTCCCRGGGAGCGGCTCCCACCGCCCGTGGGGATCGCTCGCCTGATGGAATTCAGTGAGCSCAGCGGATGCTGATGGAATTTCCGTCTCCCGACAGCTCCGCTTTAGCTGGGAGCATTTTTGGGGTTGTTTAGAGGAACACCCACACCGCTCTCGCCCCTCAGGCCTGCGGGTTGGTATTTTCTGCTCCTTCCCTTGCCCGCTTTCTGCCCGAAAAGCCTGTCCGCCGCTGGAAAAAAAAACGGCAATTAACCAAAAAAAGACAAGAAATGAAGGCAATGAGGCCGAGGAGGCGCCACACCCGGAGGTACCGGGATTCCAAAGGGAAAGCGGCCCGGACCCCCGGATCCCCCCCCGGGACCCCCCTCACAGCGCGCCCCGACCCTCACTCACCGAGCGGCGACCCCGCCCCGCCCCCCCCCGCGCCGGCAGCCAATGGGAGCGCAGGATGCGTCAGCACGCGCGCCCCCGCCGCCCGGCAGCCAATGGGAGCGGAGCTCGAGGCGGCCCCGCCTCGCGGCCATCGCTGACCCCGGCTCGGGTGGGACGGGGGCGACACGCGACAGCTCCGCCCCCTCAGCCAGCCAGGCCCCGCCCCTCAGACAGGCCCCGCCCCCCGGATCGGCCCCGCCCCGCTCCCGGTTCGGTTCCGCTGGGCACCGGGATCCTGCGGAGCGTCCCGGGATACCCTTGAGGAGCTGCTCTCAACGCCAGGGGCTTTCCTTGCGCCCCTACATTGACCTTCCCGGGGTTAAGCTGTGCCCTGGCAGCGGCACCGACTGAAAGCGGCCCTGCCCGCGCCGTCCGTGGCGAAGAGATCCCGGCACAGCTGCAGGAGGAGGTCCCGGTGAAACACCTCCCTCCGGTGGTGTGTCCTAGAGATGGATGATCCCTGCCCTCGGGGCAGCTTTCTGAAAGGATCCCCATGCCACGCTTTAAAGCAGGCTGCTCTGGGGCTTGTACCTGGCCAGACCCTTCTGTGGTGGCTGGAGCAGACATATTCCGACAAGTTCCCATACCATGCAGAAATACAAACCTTTCCCCTTGTTGCTGCCCATTGGCTGATTCTAGTTTTTGTCCATGTCACCTGCTCCTGGAGATTATTTCTTAGATAAAGCTGAGATTTTCTAGAGGTCATTTATCAGATAAAACCCTTTATGGACGACATTATTCTCAGCCAAAGGACCAAAGAGACATCCTGGGTTTGCTTTATCAGTTTGGCTATCTAGGGGAACAGCACCATGTATCCCAAATCCCTGGCTAGTGCTTTGSTCCTGGCCATGCTCCTTGGCCCTGTAGCGTGCTCCAGCTCTGCCACTCCTGTGTTATGGTCCAGATTCCCAGTGGCTGTGAACTGGGTTTACTCTGCTGCACCTAATGCAGCCAGCCYCATTTACATGCTGGAGGATCTTGCTTTTTCTTCCTGGAGAAACGCAGTGGGAGTATCTTTTCCAGGGCTGCTTCAAGAAGCGGGGCTGTAACACTGCAGTGTAACACGGTGGGTGCTCTCAGAAGAACTCACAGCCAAGAAAAAGCCCTGTTCCTGTGTAATATTTCTGTATTTGGGGTTTCTTTGATAAATATTTCAGTAAGACTTCCGGCAGGCTGCAAATCCCTCTGCCCCGGATGCACACTTGGGAGAGTTTTCTTTTTATTGGAATTCACACAGGCCCTTTCCCTTGTGAAAGAAAACCCCTTTAAAATGTTGTTTATTGCTTATTCTCCGGGGAGCCGCTTGCCTGCCAGCAGAGGCAGTGCTGATTTCAGGCGAGTGGAAAGGCGGAAACGCACACGGATGGGTCATGATTCATCCCCAGGCTGGGCTGTTTTTAGCCGGTTTAAATTACTCGGGAGCTGCCAGCATTGTTCTGGGAGCTCAATAGCACCCGGCTGCGGCATCGGCCCCGGCAGGAAAGAAAAGTCCGCGTCCTGTTCCGCTCCCCGATCAAACAAGGGCCAGGATGTCTGCAGGAACAGCCAGAGCGCTGAGAAACCTTTCCCCTCCCCTTGGGCTGAGTGGGTGTCAATAAACAAGGCGGGGAATCAACTGGTTCAAATAATCAAAGGAGCGATTATTTGAGAAATTCAGGGGAACAATACCGATTTTCTTCTGCTGGCRTCTGGCCCTCGTTGATAGGAACTTTGCTGAAGAGAAACTGGCTTATTTGATCTGTAATACAGGCTCAGCCCAGCCAAACTCCCATCCAAAGTCATGCAAGGCTGGTAAAGACAAACAAGGATATTTTCATGCTGATTTGAGACCTCAGGATTCTTTTTTTTTCAATCATAGGTTTTTCTAGCAAAAYCAAATTCTTTCTCTGCACCTGTGGATGCACCAATTCAGCAGCAGTCTCCATATCTATGACAATGATCAAAGTTTTAACATGCTCCTAACTGGTGACCTGCAGTCTTTGGTACATCAGTTTGTTACTTCTTTTTGCCCTGAACAGTTTCATGCTACAAGGCAACCAGCCAGCCCTCTGGGATGAAACCTGAAGCCTGGAGGTGCCACCATATGTTCCTGCATAGCATCTGCACTATCTTCAGCATCAAATTKCAGTCTCGCAATGCAAATGTTTGGGATGGATGAGACGTCAGCAAATGCAGGGTTTAGACCTAACCTATCTGTTCCCAGAGCATTGATAACAATATTAATTAGTCTTCGTACAAACTGCTCGGGACTCTGTTTGCTCTGTTTAACTCTTCTCTKAAAGGTGTTTGCAGGTGYTTGTCCTTCTCATTTTCCTTTCCCSAAAAGTCAGGATTTCCAAAGCTTGGAGCATTCTCCTTATTCTCATCTTGATSCTCACTCTTGGGGCCACATTTCTTTGAAGCTCAGTGCTGGTCAAAAGCTCCAGCATGGGCTTGGCTGTGCTTAGGCAGAACTGGTGTGTTAGTCCAGGCTGTGATCCTGCTTACACACCCTGGAACAGGATCTGCCTTATTCACAGCACAAGGCTCCCATTTGACTGCCCATAACTTCCTGATCCTGCTCCTTAACGTCCCATTTCCCACCAGTATTAGCACAGGTAATTACTCTTATCTAGATTAATTCTTTCCATCCTGTTTTCCAGACTCTCTCCATTTTTCTGATGTTGCCATGAGTTTCAGCCTGCTTTTTCCATTTTCCTGGACGTTTTTTCCCCAGGTAGAGCCTGCAGATTTTCTCTATTCTGACTTTTGAGTCAATAATCAGCTATTTATGGTCCTGAAACGACAGCAGGCTCCCGAGGAATCCAGTCATTCAGCTGGACAGCTGCTCTGGCAATGTCTAAATAAGCAGGGTCAAGCTCAGCCATGCTGCTTTAGCTTATTTGTAAAGCCATGAGAAGACTTTCCCAAAGCCTACACACTCCTCTACATCGTCACTGCACTGTTACTGAATATGTCTTAAAAAAGGTAGCTGCTTCTTTTTCTTCCTGATTTTGGAGAAGCACCTGAAAATACAACTTCAGCACACCCATGGCAGCTGACAAATTAAACACGTAAGGCAGGATTAACGCAGAACAGAGGGAAAACCAGAGCGACAAGTATTTTAGCGTCAGCATAGMCGTGCAGAGTTGGGCGTGTTGTCCAGTGCTAGCAGCTGGGCAATTTGAATCCTTTTACCACTTTGTTTGCACAGCTGGGCCGAGGGGCAGCGTTTAACTGCAGGAAAAGGTCAAAYAGAAATTGCACTTCTCCTTTCTGGCCACACGATGTGCCCATCACACCACGAACAGCCTGGCCAGCCTGTCAGCAATAGTTTGTATTCCCTCACAGCACCTCCTTACCTSTGCCAGCCCCCCTAAAACACTCACAGAGCTGCAGACCAGGGCCATGGAGCAGAGGGGGATGAACAGGATAGAGTTGGTGCGGTCTGGATGCTTTGCATTTCCTCTTGGAAGAAGGTGACAAGTTGCTGTGAAAGAAATAGGAGCCAAGTGGTTAAGATGTGGTGGCAACTTTTCATCAACGTGAATTATAATRGGCAGTGAATAATTTGAATGAAGTTTACTTACTAAATGTGAGATTTTACTGCTGCTTTCAGTGGGGGAATGTGAGTGACTTCTTTTTCATTCTGATTTCTGGGATGTCTTGGCACTTTGCCATTTGTATGTTGTCCTTAGCAGAACCAAGAGCTGGGRTCTGCAGGAGCCAGTTGTCAGCACAGAGATTTTATTTAAAGTCCAATATTGGGATTGGTACAAATCAAAATCTGTTTATCTAAGTGCCAAAAGAAATAGCAGAGCTGAGGGGCTAAGAATGACTTGAATTGGTAACAAATGACACCAACAAAAAATTTAGGACTGATCATTTGAGCCATTGCTAAGACCACAGCACACACAACTCACTTGAAGAGCAACAGCAGAAGAATGGCAACACATCACATTTCCCATTCCCCTCCTTTGCAGCCACGCAGGAAGAGACACTGCAGCAAGGGATCATCACAAAACAATGTCAATTGTTAAAGATTATTAAAGAACTGCCCCAAAACTGGGATGTTTAGTGAAGAATTCACAGGCATCATCCCTTGTGGTGTTTGTTGCACACAAGTCATTGGGGCTGGACCAAACTTGTTGCTTGTGAATGAATTAAATTGTAAAAAAACCAGTGCAGGTTGCTTAAAAAAATGGAAATAAATACCATATTCCCCTTCTGTAAGATCTCCTACAATGAATCAATGATACTCACTTCAATGCTCAAAATGGGGACATAGCTGAGAGCTGACTTTCAACAAATCTACATCTTCTAAAGGTGACCTTTTTAAAGGTGCAGGTGTACCACACAACCTGTGTGAATCAAACCATTCATTTCAGRGCAGAACAAATGGTATTGTCTTCTGTTTAAAACTCACAAAGCACTTTCCTATAATTATATCTACCTTAATCAGACAAACTGGGGATTAAAAAAAGGACTAATCTGCCCATTGGCCATAATTGGATTTCCTCTGCAAATATTAAGTTAGAACAACAACAGTGGCTTTTGTAGTAAATTTACTTTTAAACGCTTTTCTTTGTGAATGAGAGAAATGTGTGTTGCCTGCCTAGAGCTTCTTAGATGAAAGAAGTGAGTAGCATTTTCCCAAAAATGCTGCTTTTATTTCTTTAAAAAAAAATAGATGAATTTAAGAGATTGGAAAGCAGTGGCCAGATTTGTAGGTGGTGGTAGAAAACCAGAATGAAATCATTACACTTTAATTAGAACTTTTATAAAGTTTTTATCTCTCTGCTGAAAAGAAATATCACAGGAACCTTTATCTATTTATCCATAAAAAGTGCTAATACTGTCTAGCTGGAGGCAGCTGGGA